GTGTGTGTGTGTGTGTGTGTGTCCCCGCACGCGCGTACCAGTGGGGGGATTCAAATAATTTAACAACTGGTTCTCTGCCCTAATGACCAGCTGGGTAGGCGTGGCTCGGTGGTCATGTGACTGGGTGGGTGTGGCCCACTCAACATCACTCACGTCGATGGGCGCTTCACCTTAGCTGTTACAATGTAATAAGGGTTAACTGGAGAGGCAGTTTCTGTAAGCAGGGCAATCAAGATTAGGCTAGAAACAACACCAGAATGTTTCCTTCCTGCCTTCCTTACAGGATTAGCCCTGTAAAGTGGGAAAAAACAAAATGAGATTTCTTCCAACAACCGGTTCTCCTGCATAGGTGTGAACTGGCTGAATCCCACCACTGGTGCGCACAGATTTTCTTGTTTTTTCTTTTGAAGACGTTTCACTTCTCATCCAAGAAGCTTCTTCAGCTCTGACTGGAGGGTGGGAATGGAAGGATTTATACTCCTTGCAGACAGCTGGTCATTTGCATCCTCTTAGAGGGTCCTTGAAGCACTTGGAGGTTTCTCTGTGTCCTCAGGGTCACCTAAGTGGTGCAAATGGTTCCTGCAGTCTGCAACTTTTCCTCTGGAAATCCATTCCTACTCCCACACCACTCCAAGGGTGTCCATCCCAAATTGTACGGCTAAAAGTCTGTAGAGATTCTCCATCATCCAAGTCAGGGTTCTCCCAAAGGTGCTTTTTCAGGAGGCAACTGGACTTTCTTGGTTTTTTTTCTTTGAAGGCGTTTCGTTTCTCATCCAAGAAGCTTCTTCAGCTCTGACAGGAGGATGGGGAAGGATTTATACTCCTTGCAGACAGCTGGTCATTTGCCTCCTTTTAGAGGGTTGTTGAGGCCACTTGGTGGTTTGTCTGTGTCCTCTTGAGTCGGGCATTACAGCAAATGTGTACATCTGAGCTTTCTTTTTAAAGAATATTTTAACTTGCCAGTGGTGTTTAAACAGAAGGCTGCAATTTCTTCCTCGCACCGAGATGTTTTGCTAGCACATTCCAAAGCCTTTAGACTACGATCCATTCAAGGATGAAAGCTTTCACTAGACTTAATACTGCCTAATTCAGTGTTAGATCATAAGCCAGTCCTGCTTTAAGACTAACATCAGACCCAAGACTCATAAATTACCTAATCTTCTAAAGTGAACATCTTATTCCATCTTCAGTGACTTGATGTTAAGCTTCCTGTTATTATCATATTATTATTATTTTTCTCCCTTAGGTACAGAAAACTTTGTTTTGCTAAAACCAATATCCAAGCTTTTTTTGGGGGGAGGGTACAATGCAGTCAGCTTCATATATCGTCATCCTCGATTTACAACAGTTCATTTAGTGACCATTCAAAGTCACAAGAGCACTGGAAAAAAAAGTGATTGAGGATCGTTTTTCCCACTTACAATAACTGCAGCATCCCCATGGTCACGTGATCAGCATTCAGATGCATGGCAACCGTCTCATATCTATGACGGCTGCCATGTCCCAGGCTCACATGATCCCCTTTTACGACCGTCAGACAAGTAAAGTCAATGGTAAAGCCAGATTCACTTAACAACCGTGTTACTAATTTAACGACTGCAGTGATTTGCTTAACAAGCGTGGCCAGAAAGGTCATCAAATGGGGCAAAATCCACTTAACAAATGACTCACTTAGCAAACAGAAATGTTGGGCTCAATTGATGTTGTAATTCAAGGATTACCTGGATTTACACTTGGCCACTGATGCTAACCTTCCTTAATGACTGAGCTATGATCCTGGATTCTTGCTTGCCTTTTTCCCTAATTTCCTGCCCTTGCAGGAAAGCACAAAGACAAGAGACTGCCAGGAGCTACAGGGATGGAAGCACCATTCATGGCCATTTGCATGGCCTTCTGGAGGTCAATAACAGCAACTGGCATCTATCCCCTTCTTTCTATGAGCACAGTTCTTGCTTGCCTTTTTCCATTGAAGTCTGTGTCTGTCTTGTTGGGTTGCAGAGCCAAACCAGACAGTTATGGAGGTGCAGATGACAGACTCAATCATTCCTCTGTAGAACTGAATCAGCAGCTCCTTGGGCAGTTGGAGTTTTCTGTGTTGGTGCAGACAGAACATTCTTCGTTGTGCTTTTTTGATGACGTTTTTGATGTTAGGTGTCCATTTTAAGTTCTTGAGATATGATAGAACCTAGAAACTTAAAGGTTTTTATAGTTGATACTGTGTCATCTAGTATTGTTTTTTTTGTTTAATTTTTATTTCTCATACATACATTCACAATTATATA